GCTCTCGTGGAGACACAGGTACAACTAGAGTCAGCTCTCCAACTAATCTAAATAGAGCATCTATCGCACATGCTCATTTGAGTCCAGGCACTGAAAACTGATCCAGCCTCAGCAACTTCTCTTGAAATGGAATAGTTTCCTTATATTCTAGGAGCTGTGGTTCAAATTATATATGTCTTCCAAGATTACTATTATTTTTTGTCTTTTCAAATCGCCAGAAATCTTCTGGATGCCTGCCAGACAAGTAAAGACATGGTCACAAGCCAAAAGAGCATGTGTTTGACTAAGGTATTGCTGCAGTGTCTTAGCAGATAAAATTGGGAGCAGGAGGAGAAACACAAAATGGACAACAAAATAACCTGATTGTGTAAATTAGGCACATACGTCTTGATGGTTCATGATTTCGGTTCTTTCTGAAATAATCAGAATTGATCCACTCTGATACATGGTGTTTGGTATCTAAAGGAGATTGTATGAAATGCTACATCCTTAGATTTCATACAGAGAAGTGGAGAAGAAGAAATTACCAAAGAATAAACACTTGAGGCACTATTGTAACATGACAGAGGAATATTTAATAACACACACACACACACACAAAACCCCACCAACAACAATAACTGGAGAGACAAAAATGAAACCAGAACACAGAAATTCCTGAAAAATTCAGTAAACAGTGCCAGGTTAGGAATGTCCTGCTTAACTGTTTTAAAAGCAAGGTCACACCAAGGCCAGGATGGATGAAAAGGAGGCATCTGAGGTAGGAAAGCCAAAAAGGCAATTTACTATGCATAGAAGAACAATTTCAGTATTTTGGAAAGGGAGGAAGCAATCAAAGAAGCTGGCTTAGAAAAGGGTTAGAGATACAAGAATATAATATTTTCCAAGATCATACTATGAGGGAACTGCAGAGATAAGCAAAACTAGTGGGTATTTTCCTATGCTTGAGACATCCACAAACATGATAAAAATGCACACTCATCTAAAGCACACGTGTACAAGATCAAACGCTGTACAATGAATTGCTAAATTCCTTTTCTATATGTAAACTGCAAAACCTACATGCACTTTCATACATTTCTTCCAAACCTCTTACTTGTTTTAATGCAATAATTTGGTCCTCACTGTAAAGATTTCCATTTGCCATCATAAAAAGTTCTAGATATTCTGGATAACCAGGTTTTAATTTAATTTCCAATCACCATTACAGGGACAAGGAAAAGGTTAGAAAAATCCCATATATTAAAACAAAATGAAGCTACTGAATTTCTTTCTCCAGCAACCTTTGAACTCTGGTTCATGTCCTTCTCTTTGTGGTTGTCCACCAGCCTTTTTTCTTACCTTTCCGTGAGGATGAATTTGTCCTAAATTCAGAGCTCTGCTCAGCAATATGGGAATGGAGGGTGGGGGGAGAGCATATCTCCACAAAATGGTACCACATAGCTGTGACAATAGTTAGAGCAGCTGAAGGTCTAGTGCAGGAAGCAGCTCTTCCACTGTCCAGTGCAGAGTTCATCTATTCAGGGAGAAGTCTTTGCTGGTGACAGAGTATGCCCACTTTGCACTGGCTCTGTGTCTTAAAGGGTATGTCTACACTGCACTTTAAGCTCAGGTTCTGATTCAGGTTTGATCTCAAATCCCCCTTCATCCACACACACACAAGTCTGATTTCAATCAGCTTGCATGCAGGACCAGGTGTTGGGACCATGCTTGGAGGATAGTTCAGAGCCCAAATCCCTCTGTGACTTGAATATAAATCTTATAATTGTGCAGCATGGACACAGTTGTAGCTGCATACCTGAGTCAGAAAGAGAGCTGAATCCAGGAAATGAAAGTCCAGATTTGCAATGCAGCATAGATATTCAGGTGTGTGTTTAGAAACATTGAATTCTCAAGTCCTGACCCCACAGACCTGGGTTTACAGTGCAGCATAGAAATCACCAAAGTGGCTTCATTTGAATGGAGAGTTGGCCCTATGCTTTTTTTTAACCATGGCGACGAGCCTCTCCCCAATTTCTTCCATTCCATGTGATCATTATTCACCAAGATAAAAAAAAGAAGTATCTACATCAACCAAAGTGAATGTGGTAAAAGAAATGGGAAGATGTAAGAGCACCTGGAATAGTCAAAACTCTGACATGAGTTTTGGAGATCTTTGTGAATCCACGCTCGTGTACATTCATAGTTAGGGATACAAGACAACAATTTGTATCCAACGGCAGCACATTATTAGAATTATATATGAAGCAGAATTTTTCTCCAGTGAAAATTTTGCATGTTTGTCTTTCCATATTGGAAAGAAAACTAAGAAATATATATTTTTCCCATGGAATGACATGTTTGAAAAAAATTAGTTTCAGAAGAACTGAAATATAATTTTTCAACATTTTCTGTATCAATAGCCAACTTGGCTACCTGGACAGCTCACCATCTGATGAGTCCTGGCATGTACCTTGCCTGCTTGTTAAGCAAGCAGCCCAGGGATCCTATTTCTTGAGAAGCCAGGGAACCTGGGAAGCCAGAAGGCCCAGGAAGTTGGCAAGCTGAGTAAGTGTTACCTAAGTAGCCTGCTACGTAGGGATTCTGCCCATCTATGAAACTATCCACCTCTGACTAGGTTAGGCATCCCACCCATCTTAAGACAGACAGCTGAGGAACTGTCCAGTAAGGTAGCCAGATGCCCAGCTTCTTGGGTAGTCTGGGGAACTTAGTACTCTGGAGAACTGCCAGGCGAGGAGCTGGGAGAGCAGCAGGAAACAGACTAGTCTATCTGCTGGATTCCACCAAAGGTTTAGACAGGATCTAAAGAATGGAAAGCTTTGATTCAGCAAATTAGAATTTTCCTACACAAAACTGTTCTGTTGGAAAATTCTTGACCAGCTCTAATCAAGGTGTGTTAGCATTCAGATGTTTAAACAGACTCTCAGTCTCAGCTATTTTCAGTCCCTTCCTCAATTTTTACCCATAATGATTGGATTCTTAAAGCACTACTTAGCATGAGTATTGTCTTTTGAATTAGGGCTCGAGAGTTCATTTCTTTCCAATGTGAGAGTTTCATGACATCTTGAAGTTCTTGCTCTGTCCTTGGTGCTGCAATCCCGGATTAGGGATTAAAGAGTTCTCATTGGAGCAACTTGAGTCCTGGAATTTCCTCCCTAATACCCAAGTCCAAGTTTGGTGAATATTGTTTTTAAGGACACAAATACAAGTCAAGTTACATTTGTTTCCTTTGGTTTTTTTTTTTGTAATTTTTATCCTTACACTTAGGGTATCCCATCACTGAGATAGGTGCCTGGTTTGTGCTAATTGCTAGAAACAGTTGCTGATTTTAATGCCTGTAATGCGCTAGGCTATCGTGAACATACATAGAATAACAATAACCCAAATAAACAGCATCAGTTGTACTTTGTCCTTAACTTTTGTGTTTTATTTTTGTTTTGTAGTTACATTGAAGTCCTTTTGTAGCTGCACAGCTATGCCATATATATCAAGTCTGGGAAGGATTTGTTTCTCCATTTAATGTTTTACTTATAGGAGTTACAAGTTTATAGATAGTAGCCCCTGTGTTATGATAGTATTTTAATTTAGAAGCAGATGACCGTTATTTCACTGTAAGCCTTTTCACAGATTTATAGAGTCATAAAACTGATGGTGCTTTAGGGACGCTTTCAAAGAAGAGCAATGAGAAACATTAGTGGAAATGTTTGCAAGAAAAGTGTTGCTGGATAATCTAGAAGTTGCTTCAGAATTGTAATAATTTTGGGGGTGAATTTGACTACTTAAGCTAGTGACTTATAGTGTAGGCACATAGCATATTTTTTGTATCTTCTCTGCAAGCATTGCTAGCACATCCTGCCACGACTACTCAGTTCTGACATTTTTTTGTTGTAGCTATATCAGGCACTGGATATTAAGAAGAGAAGGCAGGTGAGTTAATATCTTTCATTGGACGAACTTCTGTTGGTGAGAGACACAAATATACTGGGAAAGTGTATATACTCTTCCCAGGCTTGAAGAAGAGTTCTCGGTATGTTTCAAAGGTTGTATCTCTCACCAACAGAAATTGGTCTTGTGAAAGATATTAACTCTACCATCTTGTCTTTTGAATAAAAAAACCCCTTGATATTCCAATCCAGGTTTGCCATAAGCAAAGATTAACAATTGTTTCATGGTTTTCCAAAATGGGAAAAAATGCCCATTGCTTCATTTAGGTTGATCAAAATCTCTATACATGTTAATGGTTATAGCTCAATTGAAAATGATAATCTTTCTAAACCAATCCTCACTTCTCAGAATTTCTTCATTTACTAATCATATCTATGTGGGAATTTTACTAAGGCACCATTTTACTATTCATTTTGCTTTTCACAGACTTTGAATCCTTATTTTTCCTATCGAGATAGAATTATTTACACCCATAATAGTCTGTTTGAGAATGCTAATGATTATGTGTAGTTCTGTGTTTCATTCTGTGTTTAAACAATGCTGAAGGGGCTCTGAATGTACTCTCTTTCAAATGCCGCAAAGCAGATAGCTTACAAATATATTAGAAATGCAAAATGTTGAAACTTAACAATAGCAATCAGTGTTGCTTTGTCTGTAAAATAATCATGTTTCCCTCAATATTACAAATCTCTTCCTACATTAGAGTTACTTTATGATCATGTATACTCTTATCTGCCTACCTGAAAAGTTGAGAAGAGACATCAGTCAGTAGCACTGGGGAAAAAATGCAATGCCTAGCAGGCTTTATGATTTTAGAAACAAGATAAAAGCTTTATGACTCAAAGAAAACAATCAAATGCTTTTTTTGTAGCCACAAGCATCATATTTACTTAAAGGATTGTGACTATAAAAGCAAATATCTCTTACAGGAAGGCAGGACAAAAGCTGTCAGAGAACAGGGTAGTAAATAGCTCTGAAATTGTTTTCTCTGCTTCATTTCAGAAGCTTAAGGCTACAAATGTTTGACCTTTTACAAATGGAATGGTTTCCTGCAGGTCATGGTGCTGTACTGAATGCTGATGGTTATGTGGAACTTGATGCAATCATCATGAATGGAAAAACTCTCGCTGCTGGCGCAGTCTCCTGCATCAGGAACATTTCTAATCCAGTGACATTTGCTTGTTCAGTCTTGGAAAAGGTAGGGGACTTTTATTTTCTTCCTCTGTGTGGTTTTAGTGCTAATGTTTCTTGACAAGGGGACAAAAAAGATTACATGATTGTTAAAAATGATCCAGAAAATTTAAAGAGATCAGGGAGAAAAATGTTAAGTTGAATAAACAACTTAATCACATCTATTGTCTGTCATTTGCCACCAAGACAAATTAGTGAAATGTGTAAGGTGTTTCTTATGAAAGTTATATTATTTTAACATTAATAATTTCATTTTTAAATGACTTTTACACCAATTAAAGGCCGAATCTTGAGCCCACTGAGGTCAATGGAAAATTTTCTGTTGACCTCAGTGGGATCAGGGTTGGCCTTCCGTGAAATTTTTCTTTTTTGATTTGTTAATATTACCAAATGAGCACTATTAATGCTCTCTTCCATAGTGCCCCTTATTTATGGAAGTAATCCATTCAAGACATTACTTGTATTTCCTTCAAATTCCTCCGGCAGACTCACTTTTGCAGTGAAAACTACAAAATCAGCCAGCTCATGACTAAGTTGTGCAACAGTTAAGGAAATTACCTATCTGCCTACATCAAATAATTGTGTCAGATACGATCACTTCATGCTCCTTGTTAATTCTCCATTACAGCTAATGATGGGAGACCAAATAAGACTGTGATAGCAATAGAAGTAGAAGTCATCATAAAGGGCACCTAAAATAATCACTTTCAACATGAAGGATTCTTTGCAGAGAAGAAGGCTAATGTTCTGTCTTGCATGAAAGAATATATCATGCTTACAAGAGACACAGAGAAAGCAGGCCCAAACATCCCTGGCATATACATTTTTGTGAACATAAACAGCAACTTTTGTGTCAACACAGTACAGACAGTCCCCGGGTTACATACAAGATAGGGACTGTAGGTTTGTTCTTAAGTTGAATTTGTACATAAGTCAGAACTGGTGTCCAGATTCAGCCGCTGCTGAAAGTGACCAGCGGCTGACTACAGGAAGCCCGAGGCAGAGTTTCTCTCCCCCGGGCTTCCTGGAATCAGCCGCTGATCAAAAGCTCAAAAAAGGCCACCAGCTGGGTAGTTTAAAAACAAAAACCAACCTAGCGCACTCACACACAAAATCAATGGGGGACTTCAACTATCCAGACATATGTTGGGAAACTAACACAGCAGGGCACAGGCTATCCAATAAGTTTCTGGACTGCATTGGAGACAACTTTCTGTTTCAGAAGGTTGAAAAAGCTACCAGAGGAGAAGCTGTTCTGGATTTGTCAGCAGCGGCTGACTTGGGGACGCCTGGGGCAGAGCAGCTGGGGTGCTGCTGGGTTGGTCCAGTAGCACCGCTCCTCAGCACTACTGGACCAACCCAGCAGCACCCCAGCTACTCTGCCCCAGGCATCCTGATTCAGTTGCTCCGGGTCTCCCTGGTCTGCTGGTAGCAATAGAAGTAGAAGAGCAGCAGACCAGGGAGACGCAGAGCAGCTTTTCTCGCCCCGGAGGACGCAGGCAGCGGAACCGCGGTGCGTCTGGGTAGTCCCGCCGCCTGGGTCCTCCGCGGCTTTGCTCCGCGTCTCCCTGGTCTGCTGGGGGGGGGGGGGGGGGGGAGGCAGCAGACCAGAGAAACGCAGAGCAGCTTTTCTTGCCCCAGAGGACCTGGGTGGCAGGACCGTGGTGCGTCTGGGCGGTCCCACCAACCGCATCCTCCGGGGCGAGAAAAGCCCCGTTCGTAAGTACGGATCCGACATAAGTTGGATCCACGTAACTCGGCGATCCAAGAGAAAAGATTGGTGAAAAACATTGCTACGCAACACACTAGTACAATGGATCTTGAATTTAATCATATAATAGTTTTCATTGACACGCCACCAGCTGAACAATGTGCAGGGCCATCCAACTTTCTCCTGTCAGAAAAAAACAATGCTTTGTCTTAGGGACTTCAGTGGTCACAATACCATCTGGGATACCTCTAACAATGACAACAATAAGGAAGAATCTGAGAAGTGGGCAGGAACAAACAACTTGATTTTGCTCTATGACTTCAATAACCCAAACACCTTCCAAAGCACACAATGAACAAAGAGTAGAATCCCAAGCTAGACTTTGTTATCCTTCAAAATATAGGCAACTTCAAGAAAGGAGGTCATGGCAGCAATTCCAAGGTCAAAGCATAGACCAATGCAAGTGCCATTGGAAATTATAGTACAGGCCAAGGGAAAAAAAATCTGCTAAGACTAAATTTTTAAAAAGCTGACTAGGAAGGCTTTACCTCTGAATTATATTATTCACCTATAAACTTACTGGCTACGTCTACACTGGCCCCTTTTCCGGAAGGGGCATGTAAATTTCACCAGTCGTCGTAGGGAAATCCGCGGAAATCCTTATTTTGAAGTAAGAATAAGAGCCTCCGGAAAAGGGCACTTTTTCCGGAGGATCGGGGCCAGTCTAGACGCTCTTTTCCGGCTTTTTTAAAAGCCGGAAAAAAGCGGCGGACATTTTTATTTAAATGCCGCAGGGGATATTTAAATCCCCCGCGGATTTCCCTACGACGACTGGTGAAATTTACATGCCCCTTCCGGAAAAGGGGCCAGTGTAGACGTAGCCACTCTGTCTAAGGTGAATTTGTCTCCCTAGCAGGGAACTCTATCCCAAAGTATATTCCAGAGTCCCATAGGAAATTATATATACTTTCAGAACACACCAGCCAATAATCTAAAAAAAGTTCAGAAATGTTTGAGATGGATCTTTTTTATGAAGAAACCATTGCAGTCAGGAAAATACTTATGAGAGAAACTGAAAAGGAGCATTGTGACCATTGGAGGGAGATGCGGAAACACCAGACCTGTGTTGTAATAGCAAACTAAATCATGAACTAACGTTTGCAAGCTGAACCCAGAGGGACAAAACCCCAAACTCATTGCTGTAATCTCACAGAGCCAAACTGGACACCAATTACCCTAAATGGCAAATCAGTCACAAAGCAAAATGGGAAGTGACACAAGTTAAACAGGAATGTTGTCTACTTCTCACATAGCAAAATGCACAATGAACAACTTAACTCTGAGAAACATGACAATAACCATGAAAATTCTGAAATGTGGAAAAGCAACTGAATTAGAGGGTGAATGATTACTGCATTTTCTCACAAGAGCAGAATTGTCTCTTTAACATCTTTACTTCTTACATAGAGACAACACAGACTACCAGGATATGGAGACAGGCCAAAGTAGTTTCACTTCTCAGACAGTATAAAAACAATAATTCTCCAAAGATTTACCATCCAACATCCTTTTCTCAACATACAAGTTATGTGAGCAGATCATGTGTAGACTAGAACCAGTAGCGGAAGAGCAACTGACTGATGACCAACCCTATTTTGGTCCTTCCCATTCATTCTGATGCTGAGTTATAAAACCATCTCAAAACATCAAAGTTTCTCTATCTGCAAAATGATAGAGGCTGTCTTTGTTGATCTACCAGCTGCTTATGACTAAGGCTACAATGTAGACACAGAGGTCACAGCAGTCACAGATTCTATAAACAAGGTTCAGTGTTATCACACTTGTTATTTAATGTCTACAAAAATGATCAGCTAGAATTCCCAGATGTATGAAGATTCATTTATGCAGATGACCTTTACAGCACCATCTAGTCAGAAAGATCTGAGCACATTAAGTGCATTCTAAGTGGTTCCCTGAAAATACTTGGAAAACATCATCGCATGTGGTTCCAGAATAAAATTTCTAGAAAAAAACACGAGCATGCCTTTCACCTGAAACATCATCAGGCCAAGTGAAAATTCCAGATATCATAAGATGATACAATCCCTGAGAACTATTAAGATCAGGTTTACCTTGAGTTCACATTAGGCTGAATGCTGACATTCAGGGTATGTCTAGACTACAGGGTTTTTTCGACAGAAGTTTTGTCGACAGATACTGTCGACAAAGCTTCTGTCGACAAAGAGTGTCTAGAATACATCCAGTTCTGTTGACAAAGCAAGCTGCTTTGTCGACATAACAGTGTGGACGCAAAGGACAGTGTAGATGCAATAATGCCTTCTATCGACAGAACTCTGTCGATAAAAGGCGTTATTCCTTGTAGAATGAGGTTACATACGTCAACAAAACTGCTGAGTTTTGTCAACGTTATGTCGACATAACTCAAAGGCAGTGTGGACGCAGGTATAGTTTTGTCAACAAAAGTCCACTTTTGTCAACAAAACCCTGTAGTCTAGACACACCCTGAAAGAGCACATAAAGAAGCTGACAAAAGTGAATTCCAGGAATTGTGTATGCTAGAACCTAGCCCACATAAAATGAGGGTTGACCCTGGAACACTTCGAGCAATCAGTCTCACCCTTGATACTCAGCTGTGTACTAGCATGTTCTAGTATGTCCTATCTCAAGCCATTCCCATTTAATTGATATTGAATTCAATACAACCTGTAAGTTCTTCTTGGGATCTTTGAAACTGACTCCCATACAGCCGCTTACTGCCTTGTAGGGGTTGCATCACTACCCCTGCAGGGGTTGAATCCTTCAGTACAAGGAGAAACAAAAATAAGTGAATGATCCAGGATATCTACTTCATGGACACATGCCACCACTCAAGATGCTGAAGTCCAGAAAGAACTTTGTCTCTGAAAATCCTTTACCTCAAAATACCTTTGTGGAAGGCTACATAGTAGCAAAATGACGGGAAAAAAGCCCAATGATCTTGAAAACCCAGTTCCTTTAGAACAATTCCCTCCAGGCACTGACTTCCAAGTAAAAGAAAGGGAGCTGGTGTGGCAAAGAACGATGACCATATGATCCAAGTGGAAGATGATGAATGACTCTAATGTTAATGTGGAGATCCTAGGCAAATGCTTGAACCCTGTCCCCTGTCAACATCCTGGTCTCCTGAGGAACTACATTAGATAAGTGACAGCACCAGCTTTTAGCTTGCTCCAAAACTGAGGCCGTGATGATGATCAAATGTTTAATAGCAAACCAATGCAGTCACATGGTCCTGT